GCTGGAAGAATACAGTTGAGAGCCTGCTTCTCCAACCAAGGATGACTTGGGCAAATGCTGTGAGGAGTCTTCACAACATTGAGGCCATGCGAAGCGAGAGAGCTGAAATGCTACAGGCTATGTATGCTTTGCAGGCTTCTGGTGATGCCAAGGTGGCAAAACTGCATGCAGCTGCAAATGCCCAGAAAGGGCAAAATTCCATGGCATCTGGGCGTGCCAAGCCCAGACTTGCTAAGAATCAGTGTGCTTGCTGCTTGGAGATGGGCCACTGGGCTCAAGATTACCTTGCTCCCAAGCCTGTCAAGCGACTAGCTACGCTGGCAAAAGCCAATCTACTCGAGCGTGATGGAATTGCTACAGCAAATGAGGCTGCTGAGGAGCTCTACAACACAGAGCCAATTGCAGCACTAAGCCGGTGGCTCTTAGACTTTGGTTGTACTAATCTTATGAGCAATAAGAAGAGTCTTTTTGAGTGTTATCAGCCGAGCATTGGAAAACATAGTGTTCATTTAGGTGACAATACCACTATCCCCGTAGAAGGCATCGGGCAATTTTGGCTCTCACTTGATCATGGGAGGACCATAGCCTTTGATGGTGCCATGCACGTTTCCACCTTGTGACGAAACTTAATATCCGTCACCAAGATATGTGATCAAAATGCAATGGTAGTCTTTGATGCAAAGGGAGTCTCTTTGGTTGACTCTAGCAACTTTTATATGCTTGGGACAAAATTGCTTCGTGGGTCATGCATTGGGGACTTGTATAAGATTATTGCTACTGACCCGGTTCAGGCCTTTCAGACTGTGGAGGCAGATTCTTGTGCAGAGCTTTGGCATAAAAGACTTGGTCATATTCATTACCAATCTCTTCAACGGATGAAATCCCAAGATATTGTTACTGGATTGGATTTCTGACGTATCCCATCTACATTTTATGAAGCTTGCATTTTAGGCAAGCATTACCGTCAGAATTTCTCGCCGAGTAAGCATCGAGCACTTAACTTCTAGACTTGGTCCATTCTGATCTTTGCGGCCCCATGGACGTGCCAAGTCACAATGGGGCAAGATATTTCATCACATTTATTGATGACTATAGCCGTCGAACATGCATCCACTTCTTGATGCGTAAAAGTGATGCAGTTGTTGCCTTTCAAACGTACAAGGCCTATGTTGAAAACCTTCTCTGTCGAAAGATAAAAACTCTTCAAGTTGGTGGTGGTGGTGAATACCTCAACAATGATCTTCGGGGCATCTATCATGATGTAGGCATACAACTGCAAGCCACAGCCCGCTACACCCCCCAGCAAAATGGTGTTGCAGAAAGGAAGAATCGCACTCTTGTTAATGCTGCTCACACTTTGTTAGCTGATGCACATCTTGACAAGATGTTTTGGCAAGAGGCCATAGCCACAGCAATGCATGTACAAAATTGCCTTGCCACAGCTGCTTTGGATGGAAAAACCCTTGAGGCATTTTGGACAGGTTCTACTCCTAATGTGTCCCACTTTCAAGTCTTCAGTTGTGCAGCATATGCACATACCCCTGATCAACTTCGGAAAAGCTAAATCCCAAAAGTAAAAAATTCATCTGGATATGCACAGGACGACACCATCGGGAGAAAAGCTTACAAATTATGGGATCTTGCATCTCACAAGGCTCTTGTAAGCACAGATGTCATGTTCAATGAAGACGACTTTCCCATGCGTACAAAGGCTCTTCAAGATCCTTCTGTCATTGCTGAGACTTGATTTGTTCCTTTGATCCACTTATGGGAAATGGTCCACTCTTGCCTCCGCCTCAAGATCCTTCTTTCATTGCTGAGACTTGACTTGTTCCTTTGATCCACTTATGGGAGATGGTCCACTCTTGCCTCCACCTCAAGATCCTATTCATGAGTTGCCACTAGAGATTCCACTGGGGAATCCTCCACTTCTGGACATGCTTGAACCAGCTGATGCTCCTCCAGTCGAGGACAGGCCTCCAACACCTCCACCACCTTGTCGACGTCGTGGCATGCCTAATCTGATGCCAGTTCTTGATCACCCCCGGGAACGTCAGCCCTCGTTGAAAGTCTGGGAAAATGCTGAAGCAGATGCTGCAGAGCTTGATGACTTTTGTGTCCTTGTTGACATCAGCATCCCCATGACCTATGATGAGGCCGTCTCAGGACCTGAGGCTTCATCTTGGATGGAAGCTATTGCGGAAGAAGTTTCTTCCATTCAGGTTAACGGAACTTATGTTCCAATTGATTCAGCGCCATTGGGATGACGTGTTTTGGATCCAAAATGGATTTTTTCCAAAAAGTATGGGAAAGATGGTCAGGTTGTATGTTATAAGGCACGGTTGGTTGTTCACGGTTTTCGCCAAGTCCATGGCCTTGACTACAATGAAACATTCTCACCGGTTGTAAAAATGGCCAACCTCTGTACTCTTTTTGCACTTGCAGCTGCTCACAAATGGCAAGTCCACCATATGGACGTCAAAACTACATTTTTGAATGGGGATTTGCAAGAGGACATCTATATGCATATACCTCCTGGTTTTGAGGACGATGTTGCCCCTGGTGGCCCTATATGGCAATTGCAGAAAGCTTTGTCTGGCCTAAAACAGAGCTCCTGTATTTGGTATCAAAAATTTGATGCCACCCTACGCGCTCAAGGCTTTCGTCACTGTCATGCTGATCACAATGTGTATGTGAATGGTCATGTTGAGCACATGCTTATTGTGGCCCTCTATGTTGATGATTTGCTCATCATGGGTGATGACACCGATGCCATTGCTGCTCTGAAAGCTGCTCTCAGCCAGCAATTCCAGATGAAGGACCTTGGCCAAGTCTCCTACTTTCTTGGCTTTGAAGTCACACGTTGAGTCTGGTGGCTACATGCAGCCAACGATGTAAAGTCGAAGTCTTGCTGGATCGGTTTGGTATGCGTGATTGCCACCCCGTCAAGACCCCGATGGTCGTTGGTGCTATCGACCTCACAGTTGAGCAGTCTGGTGAGCCTCTACCCACTGGGACTCCCTATCGGCATCTCATTGGTTGCCTCACATATTTGGCCTTGATGACTCGCCCCACATATGCTACTATTGCCTTGAGTCAATACAACACATCACCAACCACCATACATTGGCAAGCTGCCAAGCGTATCGTGAAATACCCCCAGGGCACTATGGACTATGGCATTGCTTATTCAAGGGGTGATGCTTCATTGGCATGCTACACAGATGCTAGTTTTGCCAACAACAAAGGTCATCGCTCAACTTCTGGCATTTGCCTTTCCTTCTCAGGAGGTGCCATCACGTGGGCCTCCAAGCAACAATCTGTAGTGGCCCTTTCTAGTGCAGAAGCAGAGTACATCGCACTCACTATTGGTAGCAGGGACGTGGTCTGGGCTCAAGGGTTACTTGCTGAGCTGGGATGTGCATAAGCTGGCCCCACTACTTCTTGGTGTGACAACTGAAGCAACATTGCCATGTCTAAGAACCCTGTCCACCATGCCCACTCGAAGCACATTGAAGTCCAATTTCACTACGTGCGTGAGTTGGTTGACGGTGGCACCCTGGCCGTCCAACATCTCAGGATACAGGACATGCCAGCCGATCTTCTCACCAAGCCGTTGGGGCCACACCAGTTTCAGCTCCTACGCGACAGATTTGGTTTGGTGAGTGGCTCCGGTTTGGGGGGGAGTGTTACACGACACACCTCACCACGAGTTCATTAGGGTTTTCCTGTTCTGTAGTGCGCTTTGATCCCGATTTGTCTCAGAGCTTACGGTTATGGTTATCTGTTTCAAGCTAGCATTTTTTATTTACTTTTTTCTTTCTTTGCACTACAGGACGAGACATTGGAGCAAATATACCAGTGCTTCTACGTGCTTTAGTTGCCGCGCTTCCTCATAGACAGAAGTACAATGCTCCGAATCTACATCTTACAGCCTCTGGAGGAAATGGCTGTCACCCCTGCGTGTATTCGTTCCTTCATGTTCTGGTTCAATCTGGAAGGGACTCGGTGTTGGAGGTACCGATGTTCTGGGTGATTGTTTTGTCTCTATAAGCCGTTTTCTGTGTTCTTCAGGGCATGAAGAGAGAGTACACGTTTGCCGAGTTTAGAAAAACTAGTCCCGAAGATTCATATCGCTACAGATATTATCTGTGGATTTCCAGGTACACTCGCATGCATGAAAAAGATTGTATCTTATTGAGTTTTTATCCTTGTCAGGAGAAACATCAGAGGATTTTGACAGGATCATGGAACTAATACGAGAGTACACGTTCCCACAGGTCCACATATCACAGTTTTACCCTCGACCAGGTAGGTAATCTCTGTACATGCTGCTGAATGGTTCTCACTGTCACTAGTGTTTATCCTGTCAATAGTGTTTATCCTTAGACAGGAACACCGGCGGCTCTAATGAAACGGGTTCCAACGCTCGAAGTGAAGAAACGAAGCCGTTCCTTGACAAGTCTGTTCGAATCGTTCACTCCTTACGCAGGAATGGAGGTAAAACGTACCGAGTCTGGGTCACAACACTGCTGCTGATGGAATTCATCTGGTATTCTTTCTTTTGTTCTACGTCTCTGCAGGTTGGCCTGTGTACAAGTTCTACTTCCAGCTGTACCGGGCCTTCTTGGAAGCAAGTTAATGTGAAGATTACGTCTGTCGGAAGATGGTCTGTGACTGGCGAGTGGCGAACCAGATTCCACTCCTGGAGACGATGCTGAGAAAGTCGGATGCAAGCAGCGGTAAGGAATGCGATCCTCGGGGAGTTCCTGAGAAAGAGATCCAGAGTCCGGGCATCACATTTTCGTTTGTTGAAATTCACCAGGATCAGAAGCGGTGGGCTCTGTGGTCACTCTTGTGGCTTTCTTTACACACTCCAGAAGAAAACAAGCTCAAGGACGAGTCTGTGCAACGCTCGCACAAACTCGACTGGGCACAACTGGGAGCTCCAACCAGAGTCCAATCTCCGCTATCCCAGACGAGGTGTCTTTATGTCAATGACGGCGAGAGACTTATCTTCATCAAGACAAGTTTGCAAGCACTGGTACGCTCTGTGTTCATCAGACTGTCTGTGGGAGAAATTCGTCGGCTCAAGTCAAGCCAACTTACCAAGGTACGTGCCTCCTGACTATACTATTTTCTGGAAATTTTGTTTTCCTTGCTTAAACGTTGAATTTTGCAGATGGCTGGTGCATAAGCACAGCACGCTACTGTCGTCTCGAAGCACTCGCGTTTTATATTTCACGAACAGATACACGTTTCTGATTCAAGCCTTGGATGCATGGTGGGAACACGGGATTTATAGCTCCTCTAAGCTGTGTCCTCTTATACGAGAGCTTACGCTGCGCAACTGGTGCGTATTCTATGAAGTGCTAAGCTCCGCTTTTGCGAATCGTGCAGATTTCCTATCTGCCTCACTTCTGCCAAAGCTTCACGGCAGATTGAATCTGTACGACCTGGAAGGTGTGTTTGGATGACGGAGTCACTGGGATGAAAATCTGGAAGGTGCTGCGTGACCTCTGGCAGCGTTATATCTCATGGCTGAAAGTTTGCCTTCACTGCTCGGACCTGAATTATGCAGTCCGACTCGAGAGAGTCTGGTAAGTGGCATTCCCGCTGGCTGTTGGCTTTACTTGTCGAGATTGCAGTGCTGTTGAGACTCCGAAGCTTTACGATAAGGGAGTCATCTGTTTCAGGTACTTGTTTTTCTTGTTTTTGCAATGTCTGAAATGAGTTTTGCTGTTGAGGAAGGAGTCAAGTGCTCCTCAGCTATGGCCTGCGAACAGCGCTTCAAGCAGGACTGTCTTGGCTGTCAGCAAAAGAAACTGAAAGTACAGCGTTGGAACAAGACATGGAACTGTTATGCGCATTGCATCACTTACTATAGGTACTGAAGTGCTCGCAATCTTCAGATTTTTCTGACGTATGTGATTCGTGCAGGAGCTTGATGTGGCTGATGATTTCACACTTCCACATCACAGTCTTACGCGAGCAAAACTCAGAAGATGTTTTCTGGATGGAGAGTCCGAGCGGGTTTGTGGTGTCTTCACTCACGGGTTTGACAGCTGAGGTGTTGCAGATCAACAAAGCTTGAAGTTTATACCGAGCGGAGTGAAGTCTATGCTCGCACAACCTTTTGCGGATAACAGCGGAGGCATGCTGGTGGTTTCTCACTATCCAAGAGGATATAACAACATCAAGCATAGAACCTGGGTGCAGTGCATTGCCGATAAGATTGCAGCTGTTTTCTGAATGTATTTTTCATTTCAACGATTATAAGTCAGTCTCCCATTGGGTATGTATACAGTTTTCTTCAGATTGAAGTATTTAGAGGTGGCAAATAGTTCTTGCAGATGGAGCAAAGAGTTGGCGGGGGTGGATTGTGGCTCTGGCTGTAACAAACAAGGGAGCAAAAGCCTAAACCACCCTACCATAGGTCACTATATATAGTAAACCACCCCCAGGCTCTTAAGGATCATAACATTCTCCCCTCCCTCTCTCTAGACCCTTAATATCCATGAGCTTAAACGAAGCACATAGCTCAAAACAGAGCTAACCAATGGATCTAAAGAATGAAGACTCAAGTTCGGAGTACATAGCTCAATACGGAGCTAACTTCATTCAAGGAAGGTCTAATGCACATGAAGCTTTTCTCGAAGTACAAAAACTCAAAAGACTTCATTGCCAACGAATCTACTCTCTCCCCTTCCTCAAGAAGAGTATTCGTCATCATCAGGAATATCGTCCAGATCATAATCAAACTCCGGAAAAGTTGACTTGAACTGAGATTGTTTGGCCATCAGATTGAGGATGATCACTGCTGCACATACTCAACGTGGTATTGAGTTGCTTAAACACATCTTGCCAGAACCTGCTCGTAAACTTTGGATCGCGATTGCTTACTATATCCTCTGGCAAACCAAACGGCCTATACAACTCTTGGATAAAGAGTTGAGCCAAGTCAGAAGTCTTTACAGTTTGCTTAGTAGCAATGAAGTGGGTCATCTTCGTCAATCTGTCCACCACCACCCACGCTGAATCATTCTTCCTTTGACTCTTGGGTAGCCCCACCACAAAATCCATGGAAATTCTCTCCCATTTTCCACTGGGTACATTCAGAGGTTGTAAAACCAGCGGGCTTCTGACGATCAGCCTTGACTGCTTGACAAGTCAAACATTCTCGTATGTACTTTTCCACATCTGATTTCATACCAGGCCAAAAGAAATGTCTCTTAACCAACTCAAACGTCCTCTGAATTCCTGGATGTCCTGAGGAAAGTGTAGAGTGACACTCTGACAAAATTGGGAAGAGAAGAGAGCTCACTCGAGGAACCACAACCCGGTTCTTCTTCCACAACACCCCATCCTCCATCCTATACGAAGCAAACTTTTCTCACTGGAAGACACCATCAGATTTCTTAGAAGAAGCGTCCCTCTTCAATACATGTGCTAGCACCTCTTTTACAAAGGAGTCGAAATCATAAGCCTCCTTGATCTCTTCCAGAAGTTTACTTGAGAGTCTTGTGATCGTTACTGAATTCACAAGCCTCGATAGAGCATCAGCCACCTGATTATCTCTACCTCTCTTATATCGGATCTCCATGTTGAACTCTTGCAAAAACTCTTGCCAACGAGCCAACCTGCCTCAGAGATCGGTCTGCTTCAGAAAATGTTGCAACGTCTGATGATCCGAGTATGCTACACTGAAGTCAGCACCATACAAATAATGCCTCCACTCCTTGGTGGCACAAACGACCGCATATAACTCTCGATCTCTAGCCGGCCAATCTAGCTGAGTACTATCAAACTTGCGACTCAAGAAAGCAACGGGACGGCCTTCTTGCAGCAGCAGAACAGCTCCCAGCGCCACATCACTAGCATCACACTCCACTACAAACGGCTTCATTGGATCCACTATCTGAAGCACTGGAGTTGTAGCACACCGATGCTTGAGCTGTTCGAAAGCATGTTCACAACGATCGCTCCACTTGATTGTTGCATGCTTAGTAGTATTTTGAAGTAGATCTGTTAGAGGAGCAGCCACCTCTGCATAGTGATCTATAAACTTTCTGAACACACCAGCCATTCCAAGGAAACTCCTAAGGTCATGCACCATAGTGGGAACAGGCCAATTCACTACCACCTCAACCTTCTTCGGATCAATCCTAACACCATTAGCTGAGATCAAATTCCCCAGGTAAGCAATCCCCTCAAGGAAGAACTCACACTTAGATGCCTTGGAATAAAGCTTGTGCTCTCAAGCTTCTCTAACACCGAAGTCAAATGCCACTCATGCTCCTCAGCGCCTGTGACTGACGTGCAGTCTGCTACCTGGAAAGATTCGTTTGTAAGGTTCTCAACTGGCGTACTCAGCTGTGTGACTTCGACCTGACAAATGTCTGTACTTTTCCGTCATCTTTGTTTCCTTCTCGAGACTCATCCTTCTTTCCTTCCCGAAACTCATCATCCTCAGTGAAACCACTCTCCTTTGCATTTGCATGCCCCTTATTCTCTCTGAATGATCCTCCAGCCTTGAAGTACGATCCAATGGCCTTGTGTTTAAAATTCAGAGGAACGGTCAAGGGTGTGTTGTCTATGAGATCTTGTTTCCCTTGTTTTGGTTTTCCTTGCCTAGGCTTCCCCTCTTTGACCTTTCTCCTTTGTGGCTGCTTTCCTGAGTTCTCTTCTCTTTTTCTTTTTCCTCTGTCAGCGTCGGTCGCCAACCTTCTTCTTCGCATATTTTGCAGGATTATTTAGCCTCTATTTCAATCACAACAACTTCAGGAATTTCCAACCCCTCTGCAACACCGGTTGGCCGTCGCAGTGTGAGCGCCGCTTGCAGTATAGGCGCCCATACCCTCCTGATTGTTTGAACCAACAACAAGTTCCTTCATGACCTTCTCACTGTGCGCGCTCCCCGCATGATCGTTTGAACCAACAAGAAGTTCCTTTCCAACCTTCTTACTGCGCACGCCACTCGCAGTGTCTCTATTCCCGTCTGATAGTGATGCATCAGCTTTCTTAAAAAGAACTTTCACAACTGTCCTTTTGGCCGCCGGAACGTCACAGTGAATCTGTTTCACGGAAGGATGAATTTTGTTATTTGGCTTGTTTTCTGTTGAGGAAATTAAGTTCATACAACATTATTAGTTTTTCTTACCTTCTTTATCTCTTCTTCTAGGCCTGTCGTTCTTTTTTTTGGAACGGATTTCACCCTTTTGTGCTTTTCTTGCCGGTTGGTCATCATCCTCTTCCTCTTCCGCATCTTCTTCCTCGGCAGCATCCTCAAAGAGGCAATTTTCTTTCCTTTTTTATCTACTTTTGCAGGGGGATCTTTTTCGTCCTCCTCAGCCTCCTCCTCCTCCTCGTCCTCGTCCTCCTCCACTTCATCCTTCTCCTCTTCATCATCATCTTCTTCGTCTTCCCCTCGGGCCTCCTCCCTGCTGGTCAAGAGACCATCCCGTGCTTCCTTGACTTCAAATGAGAAGAAGCTCTTCACTCCTCGTTTCCATACTGCTGGGTCCCAATCCAGATCCTCAATGAGTTGTTGTCGCCACCATTTGAGAATGTCATCCCCCTCTAGTGTGGCCATCGATTGAACTACCACCACCTGCCTCGGAGCCTGTTGTACCACTCAAATCCTGCCCTTGACTTCGTCGTCTGTCACCATCGGCATGGCCTGTTCGTCTCCTGCTGGCAGCAGCATGTCACCTCTCATAACCCAAAAAGGACACTTGACATTTTGTTTGGGAGACACAACAAACCACACCTCCACATCGCCATCCTCCCAAGTTGGTGTAGGTGCCCGTAAACACCCATGTGCAGGCCCCCAAGCTAACTCATTCCCTGCCTAGCTCCACGTCCCGTTGCAGGCCACAAAGTCTCCAGGTTTGAGACAGTGCCTAGGCTAGAGCTGCCCCTTCTTCACTCACTCACCGCTCTGATGATGCGAAGAAGATTAAGGTGGACTTTCCTCCACCGTCCTGGGTCAAAGACCTACATTCGCCTCGTAGTCTTCCTCCTATCCTTGTCCAGAACTCCCACCAGTTGCTTGAGAGTTCGAAAGCCTTCGCCATGCAGCTTTCTCTAGATTGTGTAGTGGTCTTCCTTGCCCAACGTCCTGTCATCCACTTTGAAGAGGTTGTTGAAGAATAGGGGCTGGTTCAGCCAGTCCTCCGCTCGCCCCGGCATTTCCCTACTGACTAGAAACTCGCTCCATAGCCTGAGGAACCCTTGAACCAGTGTGCCACCCTTGACTACTTGCTTTGGCCCTTCAACAAAAAGCCAACGT